TTCTACCACTGAAGCTTTTCTCCTTTCTTTCCAACTATAACAATATTGACTTAATTATATGATATAAAAACAATTTATCATCATTCTATATAACACGAGAAGTAGGGAAAAACGACGTTGTAAAAAATAAAGATGTATCAATGTACAATGTATAATAAACTTTTTCCCTACTTCTTCAAGTATTTTATAAATTGTTTTTTACTTTTATATAACGAGCATAAACGATCATACCACTATTTATTCTCCACTTTTTTTACAGTGTAGAAGTATGTGATTTTTCAACTTTTATAATAGTGCGTTACAATTGAAACAATCGTGTTTAGATCTTCAATCATCATATAACTAACTTTCTTTCGTCATGAATAATCGTTTGCAATTGTATAAATAAAAAAATGAGTGTGAAATCATTTGTGCTGAGGAATAGGAAGTATTTTAAATTCAATCGAAGTATAAAACTTAATTGTTCATAGAACCCTGACAAAGCCAAGACATCAGCGAAGCAGTAGCAATTGGGCCATCATTAGATCCATTGAAAATTTGATTTCCCCAAAGTATCAGTATAACAAGTGTCTATCGAAATAGACACATATGCACTAAGAAAGTTTGAAAAAAAGTTGATTAATTACTGTATTTCGACCCAGAGCATCTATTAGGTACGGTGCACTTGCATATCCAATAGAATTCCATCGCAAATCAAGTGCTTCGAGTGTCTGAAAGACGAACGTAAATGAAACACAGAAAATAATGAATATTTCACCTTGTTCTGCTTGAGAACATCAGTCAGATATCGTAATCCATTATTTCGAATTTGATTCCAACCGAGATTGAGTGTGACGAGTATCTGATAAGAAAACAATAATCATTCAATGAAAATAGAAAGTCAATCAAATATTACTGCGTTGTAAAGCAAGGATTCAGCTAAAAACAAGATTGCATCATCACAGATTGAGTTTCCACTAAGATTTAATGTTTTAAGCGTCTGTTTTATAAACAAAAACGATTAATGAATGAATAAACTATTGAGTTATTTACTGTATTTTCGCGTAAAGCATCGCTTAGATATCGAATTCCTTCCAATCCAATAAAACATTCTTCAAGATCTAGTTGTGTGATTGTCTATTATAGAGAATATGACTAATAAGACGGCAATATCACAATGAGGATTTACTTGATTTAATCGTAATGTATGAGCAATATACCTTGCTCCTTCGTTTTTCACGCGGCAAAAATGCAGATTGAGTGCTGTCCCTGTCTGTTCATCCTTGAAATAAGAAAATAAAAGTAAATATACATATTTAAGAGAACAAACGAAATCTTCTTATTAGAAACAAATTTAATTACGAAGAAGAAGAAGAGACAATTTTCATGAAATTTATTGAATATCAATGAAACAATGAGGTCAATTCTACTCATGTCTAAAATTTTCGAAGTTTTTTTTATCTATAACCGAACTTTAATTGAAAACGGTTCGATATTATCTTCTCAAGATTTCTAAATGATTCATTAATCTGTTCAGTAATAACATACTTAATTTAAATAATCACGTTCTTAATTATGAATAGTAATAATCTCTAACAAAATATGACTTAAATCTTACCTTATTTTCTTGTGAAATATGTGAATAATCGTGTTGATAATTTATGATTAGATGACCATCATTATCTACTGACGAAATTTCATACATAGGTTTGGTCATACGATGTTGTACACAGATAGGTAATGTGTACAACCAAATCTCTGGGTCATTCATGACATATGCACTAGCGACGACCCAATGTTTGTCATTAAGCCAATATGATGTACGAAATGGGGTAACAAATGAATCAAGACTAATCATCTCGTTCTGCGCATTACGTTCAAACGAAAAGAAGAATTCGAATTTACGAAGTCGTGGTAATTGGCTCTGAACAAATTCTTCCAAGCGAGATACATCAGTAACCAAAGTGAACGCATCTGTATCAGAAATATTTGAGACTATTTTGAGATGAATCAATGATGGTGTCAAAGTAGTTATCAATAATAGATTGTCCATCGTCAATTGACATTCTTCTATTGAAACCGATTCCATTTGGTGATGACATATTTGATTATCAGATTTCAACATCTGTAGCCTATCAGGCTGCTTAATGATACATTTCTCCATACTGAATGTTCGTAAATGAGGCAAATATTGAAGAAGATTGAAGTATTGAGTAAAGGTACATTGGTTAACTTTCAAATATTCCAGTCTGTGTCCCATTCGACAGAATATGCGATCGTGGATCGGTTCATCTGCACATAAATATAATTTACGAAGAGTTGATTTTGTGAGAAATTGGATAAGAAAAGACTCTACTCTCACACTTTGTACGTCATTTAACCTGATAGACAATGAAATGAGAGAAGAACAATTGACATTCTGTAAAAATTTTTCCAATTTGTTGTCCACAAGTGAATGAAGAGCTAAAGAGCGAAGTTTCGTGAATTGAGAAATGTTGAAGCGTGAGTGTAACAAGTCGATTTTGTTTGATGCCGACCGATTATCGGAAATAAGATGCAAAGAAATAATATTTTCAGGTTGAATCAATTGATGAATCAATTTAATATCATTCGATGACAATGAAGTGGAGTCGAGTTTGTATCGATTAAAACTATTGACGACAGAATAAAGCTTTGTGCAGACACATCGAAGTCCACGGAGAATTGTCATTGTATCAACATCATCTAAAATACGATGAAGTAATTCCACAGGCAACTTGAGAAGTGATTGTTGCGATTGTCTTATGGGTTGTTGTGTAGAATCATGTAGGTTTCGTAAATTTATCGTGATGTTTTCTCCAGAAGTCAATTGTGACTAAAGCAAACGGGATGAAAAACTGATAATGACTTCGAAAGTTTACTCTTAATTACCTTAGTTTGAAAGACAGACTGGTTTACATAATTCTCATACCAATTGAACAAATGATTAGTGAATTGACATTTCCTTTCATTAAATGTAATGTGTGCTTGTCGAAGAGCTGAATGAAAGGCAAGATTTTCCTCGAAATCAAATAAATTGATGGATGAAACCCTCTTGATTTGCCATGTTGAACTATACTCAGCCAAAATAGCCCATCTATTCACATTATCAAGTGGTTCTTTGTTGACTAGTGCACACCAATCATCTTCATTGGCCATGATTCTTGTTTCAGTACTTATCATCAGATTGCTCCACTTGTTCTCAATCGAATGTTCATTGCCGTACAAATATAATCGAATAGGTGCGAGACTCTTCAGAATATGATATATTTTATCCCAATCTGCGTTATCGAAAAGAATTTTCAGATCAGGTCGCAGAATGAACTCGTTTTCATTGTTTGGAAAATAGTGAGAAATTGTGTGAATAATGATTGACTCAAATCCAATTGATTTACCTAAGAATTCCAATCTTTAATTTCCAAAATAACACGAAAAAACTTTTTCGAAACCACATCATAACCTGTCATTGTTTCTATTTCATATTACTTACAGATTTCTTGTATGCATTGTTGAGCACTTTCAATCTCTTTGGGAGTACTATTGAGTGAAATTAGTAGAATATGACAAACATCAATCTAAAAATTCAATGCTTTTGCGTGAAATTAAGAACGAGTCGTTTTACCATTGTAAATGGCATGATCCAATATCGAAGTGTCTTTGCTTTGTGATAATAAAAAGAAGACAGTGAATTTTGCTTCATTTCTTCTAGTCGTTGTCCTTCGTTTCTAAGAAATTGGACAATATCTGCTGTTATGATTATTGAAAGATGTTTTTCATTATTTACAAGCCGTTTTTGTTTATGTTCTGGATTGATTAATTCTCGAAGATATATAACTAAAACTTCATCTGTTGCTTGTAGATGAGTCATCAAATCATTTTCAATTGTATCGAGTAGAATCACAAAGTATCGATGACAACACGTATTCAATGAATTTCTTTTAACATTAACAGATTGTGCAAGTGATGTTGCCTTAGTTAAAATCTTCAATGTCACTGGTATGTTGAAGTTTAATCGAGAAATTCTCTCTATTGAACCAAATATTATTATAATCGGCTCAATAAAATCCATAATTGTGTTTTTCGAACAAAATTAAACACAACATAAATAAAAGAAAAAGAAAAATACGAAACTTTCTCCATGTTGATTTTCAAATTTGATGAATTGTGCCAAGTTGGAAAAAACCCACTGGCAAAAGAAAGAAAAAAAAACACTTTGTCATTGTATATACCAGTCTACCGATGAATCAACCGTTTTAAGAGGTACTGCATTCATCAGTAAATCGAGCATTTTCTTATGAAACTACTGGAAAATTTCTGAGCAACTTGTTTGAATATTGCAGGTGGAAAGGAACATGTTCGAGATGTAAATGAAGACGTGAATCGCTTTCGATTTTGCGAGAAGAAAGAACCGTTTTCACATGTTTGGTGAGTTCAAGATCGGAATGATCAGCAAGAACGAGACTCTCATCTTTATATTTGTCAATCGACAAAAACGAAAATACGAACAAAAATCTGCAAAGTATTGAGTATTTCGATTGATGCTCAGTTCAAAAAGTTCTTGTTACACTTAAAACGATGACAGGTTGTCTTGATGTAACATTACTCTATCACAAAGTCGTTTTGGAGGAAAAGATGGATGTTGGACAGTCGTCATTTCACACTCGACTTGATTTTACGAACATCAATATTTGAATAAAAGATGATCAAATTTTAATGACGATAGTGATGAAAATTTTCTTCACAGACAAAGATCTGCTGTATGACATCGAAGAATATTTCCATTTCTATTCATTAATGGTTATTAAAATCAGAAGCAAAGCTGTCTGTGAGAATTCTCCTTTCGATCCTAACTAATCTGGATCATGAATCTCTAGATGAACGTTATATTTGTATATAATGAATCGTTTGAACGAGTGATTTTTTTTCTTCTTATCCAAATAAAAGGCAATTTTTGATGAACAAAAGACGATTATTTTGTGATTGACATCAGGTTGTCCACTGATTTCACTGTTCGAATCAAAATAAAAACGACAGATTCTTTGATGAATATTACAATGAAGAAAAAGTAAATGTGATGCGCATTATCCTACCACATTCCTATCGATTTTTATAATGAGAAGAAAATATCACGGAGCGTCATACTAATTGTCATTTGAAAAACAAAATAAAATGCCGCAGATATTAGTGATTGTTGTAAAAAGTGCATTTGTATATTGTACTACTGTCTGATTGTTTTTATACAAAATTCATTATCTATCTTTATTCAACGGTAAATGTTATTTATATTTTTCACATGAAAATGTGACGAAAAATACTTCAACAATAAAGAGAGTCTTGATTTTCTCGTATAGCAGTAATGCATACTTAAAATAGAGCATAATGTATTCCATAAGAAATGATAAACACTTCATCATATGAAAATTTTCCGATCATTTTCACGGAAAAATTCGACGTGAAATCGAACAGGTATAAAAGTTTTATTTCGCAATTAAAGAGAAATTTTCCACCGATATTATTTATTTGAAACTTAGATGAAAATGACCTCTATCAATGTAAACATCGATTCAATAGAACAGTTGAATGTTGAACAACAACAATCGGATGCAACGAAAAATTGTACTGATGTATTCTCTCAAACACCAACGACAACTGAGGAGATCGAGAACAATGAGAGTATGGTAGAAATATCTAAACCATCATGGAATTTGTATGTCTTTTTATTCTAATCTGATCAATGATCTTTTATTGAATATTTTTCAAGGAAATTCTTCGATATTTCAATTCCGAATTCAATTCTTGCCATTGGAATGTTTTCATTATTCGTATTTATCGCAATGATAATTGGCATTGTGATTGTTTGTCTTGCTCTACCAAAACGTTCAGGTATATTTTTACACAATAATATGTTCATATCACTTTCAGTTCTGTTCAGCACCAAAATGCGGACTAAATTTTGTACGAACAGCTACGAATCCAATTGAATATAATTATGGTCCACAATATGTTGCTATTGGTGATTTTAATGAAGATACTTGGATAGATTTTGTTACCGCTAATCGGTTTGTCAATGTTATCGCCATCTACACCGGATCGTGGATGAAATATTCTCAAAACAAAGTGAATATTCAACTGGTGTTAATTCAAATCCATTGATGGTCGATGTGAATGATCTGAATAATGATTTGAATTTGGATATTGCAGTTGCAAATTATGGTACTCATTCGATTGGTATTTTCTATGGATTTGGTAATGGATCTTTTAAAGATCAAGTCGTACTTTCAACAGGTGTTGCACGACCATATTCAATCAATCTAATTGATTTAAATAATGATACATTTATTGATCTTGTTGTCATTAATTATGGAACAAACAGTTTTAGTATTTTCTATGGAAATGGAAACGCAACATTTTCAAGTCCAATTACATATTCAACTGGATATGATTCACTTCCATATGCATTGGCGACAGGTGATTTCAATAATGATCATCAGATAGATATTGTCATTGCAAATTATGGAACAAATAATATTGGCGTTTTTTTTGCCAATCAGAATAATAATACTTTACAAAATCAATTCACTATTTCAACGGGCATTAATTCTCAACCAACTTCAGTAACTGTAGGAGATTTTAATTCGGATTCATTTCTTGATATTGTTGTTACTAATTATGGTACAAAGAAGATATGTTTACTTTTAAATCAAGGTAATGGAAATTTCACAGGTCCAATCTTTTATTCGATCAATTCTTCTTCGCCATATTCAATCGGTGTTGGTGATTTCAATGGAGATAAAAAATTAGATTTATTTATCGTCAACATTGGAATAAAAAATATCGGATTACTTCTCGGATTAGGAAATGGAAGTTTTGCAGAAGCAAGAATGAATTCAACTGGTTCATCCTCATCCATCTCATTTGCTTTATACGATTATAACAAAGACAATCGACTTGATGCAATTATTGTTAACAACGATACGGGGAGTATCAATATTCTGAATGGTTATTTCGAAGGTTTTCCCACTCCTACAATACTTTATGTTGGTTATACTTCAACCTTTGTACTTGTTCATGATTTGGACAATGACGAAATATTAGATATGATAACACTCAGTGCAGATAATAACATCATGAGCATCTTTCTTGGAACGCATGATGGATCATTTACACATAAAATATCATATCGAACAGGTAGTTATCCCAATAGTGCAAATCTTGCTGATTTTAACAATGATGGTAAAATAGATATAGTTCTTGTGAACTCTTACAGTAATAACATGTACATTCTGTTTGGACGAGGTGATGGAACGTATTCAGATCCAGAAATATATTCAACGGGTGTGTATCCAGCTTCCATCGTTGTTGATGATTTCAATAAAGACAATCGATTAGATATTGCTGTTAGTATTTATTATGAGAATAGCGTCCGTGTGTGGCTTGGACATGATAATGGTTCTTTTTCATCATCAATAAATTATTCGACTGGTTTAAATCCGCGATTTATAGCAAAGGGCGACTTTAATAGTGACGATTGTCTCGATTTAGTTGTTAGTAATCGTTATGGCAAAAGTATTAGTATATTTCTTGGTTACGGCAATGGAAGTTTTGCGGATCAATTGATATATCCAGCTAGTTACGCACCATATTATGTAGCAGTCGGAGATTTTAACAAGGATACTCGAATGGATATCGCTGTGACCAACTATGCTAGTCTTAGTGTGAGTGTTTTTCTTGGCTATGGTAATGGTTCTTTTGCAAAATTAGTTCCATATGGAGTGAATAATTTCCCATCATTTATAGTCGTTGAGGATATTAACAATGATATGCATTTGGATCTTGTCATCGCTTGTTTTGGTGTGTTGAATATATATATCTTATTTGGAAATGGAGACGGTTCATTTAGCCATGCAAAGTTGTATTACACAGGCATGAAATCATCTTCAGTAGTTGTCGGAGATTTCAATTTTGACTCACGATTGGATATAATCGTAACAAATGATAGTAATGCCTATGTAGGAATATTATTACAATACAATCGGGGTGTTCTTGTCAACGAATTAACTTATGCATCGGGTGGAAGTTCGAAATTACGATCGATGGTTATTGGTGATACAAATAATGATACTCAAATAGACATTATTGTGGCTAATTATGGTACTGATGATGTGAGTATTCTATTTGGATATGATGATGTTACTTTTCCGAATTATCTCACGATCAATATGAATTCAAATTCCCATCCATCATCAGTCAGTCTTGGCGATTTTAATGGTGATAGTTATCCAGATGTTGTTGTAACTCTTGCTGGTTTTAATGAAATAGGTATGTTACTTGGAGATGGACAAGGATCATTCACTAAACAAGCAATTTACCAAATTCCATCTGAATCTTCTCCGTTCGTTGTTTCTACAGGTGATTTCGATAAGGATGGAGTATCGGAAATTGTTGTTGGATATGATAATGATGACACTATCGATGTATTTAATGCATATGATACAGGATCTTTTGAAGATTTCAAAAAATATCCGGTTGGTTTGACTCCGGCATTTGTTATCGTAGCGTATATTAATAACGATAGTTATATTGATACTGTTGTTGCTAATGTAGATACTGATGATCTAAGTATTTTTCTTGGATATGGTAATGGTAGTTTTGCAGATGTCATCACGTATGTCATTGATTCTCGTCCGATTTCCGTAGCAGCTGGTGATTTTAATCTCGATAATCGATCAGATTTGATTGTTAGCTATCTTCAAAGTGCTAGAATTGATCTTCTAATAGGCTATGGAAATGGTAGTTTCGCGAAACCAATACCGTATTCTATAAACTCGCTCTCATATTGTGTAGCGGTAGGTGATTTCAATAAAGATAATTATTTAGATGTGGCTGCTGTCGGTCATTACAGTTATACTTTAGAAGTGTTCTTAGGAGATGGTAATGGTTCCTTGTCAATAAAACTGATATTTGGAACTGGTTCTTTGCCAAAGTATATTGTGACATCTGATTTTAATAATGATACGCATTTGGATGTTGTTGTGGCCAATTCGGGTTCGAATAGTGTGGGTATTTTCCTTGGTTATGGAAATGGTTCTTTTGCGGAACAAGTTACATATTCAGTTGATGCGAATCCAAGAGCATTGGCCTTTGCCGATTTAAATAATGATGGCCGGTTGGACATTGTTGTCACTAATTTGGATGCTTCGACATTAAATGTTCTCACTGGATTTGGTAATGGCTCTTTTACAAATCAAAATACATTTCCCACCGGTAGTCTTCCACAAGCTGTTACTATTTCTGACCTCAATAACGATAACTATCACGTAAGTAAAGTTGGCACGATATTCGAGTTATTTTTGCTAATATTCATTTGAGTACCTGTGCTGGTGTTTTAAATGGTTGTGTTGGATACAGAATTAAATTCTCTATCGAATGGTGTGGTTTTCGATACGGGTCACCGACCAAAAACTGAAGTTTTTGACGAAACAATGGGTTTTCTGGTCTTTCAAAAATTTGTAAT